CAAGATCGGTTCGGATTTGCTTCCATATATATCTTCAACCAATTTCAGGTTAGTTGTGCACCAAATGGCCAATATTTGTCAAAAAGTACTGAATTTTAGTGCATGCGACCGAATTCAGACAAGAAGCAAGTACATCAAATTTGGAGAAAATCGGTTCTGATATAGCTATAGCTCCCATATATATGTTTCATCCGATTTAGTGTTTAAGTCCCTCACATTCGTAATATGTATTCAACAACAATGATATTCGGTACCAGATATCTTATACAGCTCGGAAATACGTTTGCCAAATTCGGTGAGAATTCTCCAGAAAAACAGTTATTCGTGATGGAATTCAAGCGTGCTTGTGTGATTTCTTTATATTTGGCGGGAAAACCACAAGTGGCTATCGTTAGAGCACTCCAGCATTTATTTCAAAATGTGAATAAATCTTTGGTTTTCTCCGATGAGAAAAAATTCGTTGTCCAGCAGTTTGTAAACAAACAAAATGGTCGTGTTTAGTTGCCAAAGAGGTCAGCTGAATGAATGAAATGTGCACCATCGGTTGGTCACCAGAACTCAAGCGGCCAGAACCCAGTCACTCTTCGCTCGTTTTAATCGACCGTGGCATCAGAATAAATGCCGAATATTGTCGCGAAAATATTCTGGAGGGTGTATTAAGGCCTTGGTGGGCACGCAAACATTTTGGCCGCAGACCTTGGGCATTCAAACAGGACTCAGCAACATCGCACTCAGCAAGCGCCAACCAAGAATGGTTACAAAATGAGGTTCCTCGTTTCATTTCCAGCGCACAATGGCCACCAAAATCTCCGGACCCCAACCCGTTGAACAATTGTGTCTGGAGTATTTTGGAAAGCAAAGTTGGCACTAAAAAATACCAAAGTGTCGATCACCTCAAGCAAGCGCTTCACCGGGAATGGGCCAAAATACCGCAAAGAAACATTCGGGCAGCGTGTGTTTCATTGAAGGTCATAATTCGTGCCAAAGGTGACCAATTCGAACAAATCTAAACTTATTCTAAAATTTGATGCTATTTCCGAAATTTTTTGCTTTCATTCAATAAAATTAAAAAAAAAATGTAAAAATTATGGCGTTTGACTTTGTAGCATTTTTTTATCTCTCCCTGTATATACAAAGTTAAACCCATTTCGAAGAAATTGGTAAAGATATTTTTACGTTGCATCTGATAAGTTCCACGTTTTCGTATGGAGTTCGATTACAGACAAAAAGATAAAATTTTTAAAGGATGATTTTTTAGTTCTTTGCTTTTTGGCAACATTCGTTGAAACAGCTCACGCACGTTTCTTGTTTTGTTTCACTGTCAATCAAAATGGGTGCTCTGTTAAGAAAAGTCATCGCAGGCTTCTTCCATTTTATTGTGTTCTCTGACAAGGCTAATTTTCGGTTCAATGGGTCCGTAAATAAGCAGAATTTTCGATTTTGGAGTGAAGATTAGTCGGTAGCATTGCGAAAGCCAATGCATCCAGAAAAAGTCACAGAAACCAATGCATCCAGAAAAAGTCACAGTTTGATGTGGTTTATGAGAATGGAATCGTTACGTAACTGCTACCGTGAGATATTATCCAACCTTTTTGCCCAGAATGTAAGAGCACGCGGATCAATAGACTTACTGAAAGAAGGGTTTGATAAAAATTGCATTTCACGTTCGATGGCGCGATTTAATGCCTTTCACGATTTCACGTTTACTCTGCACCAAAAGTGCTATAGGATGGAATAGGATAGAATGGATGTGGAAGATTTGGTCAGATAAACCTGTAGTTTCGGAATATCTTATAATTATACCCTACACCACAAGGTGGTCAGGGTATTCTGTCTTTGTGCATTTGTTTGTAACAGGCAAAAGGAAACGAGATAGACCCATAGTTCCTTTTGATGATCTGCATAGAATCACATTCTGAATCGATCTATGCATGTCCGTCCGTCCGTCTGTCCATGTATTTTTGTAAACAAACTACAGTTCGCATTTATTGCCCTATCCAGATGAAATTTCGCACAAATCATTTGTTTGGCCCAAGGACGAACCCTATTTCGATAATCGGTCAAAATATAGATATAGCTCCCATATATATCTTCGTCCGATTTGCGTGTAATATCAGTCCGAATAGTATGGAATTTTGCACGTACGATCAGATTGGACCTGAAAATAAGTATGTCAAATTTGATCGAAATCGGTTCAGATATAGAGCTCAGAAATACATTTGCTAAATTTTATCGAGATCGGTTCAGATTTGGATATAGCTCCCATATATAACTTCGTCCGATTTACTTTTGATTGTGCACCAAACGTCTAATATTTGCCCAAATTGGATGAAATTTGGCACTTACGACCGAATTGAGTCTAGAAGCTAGTATGTTAAGTTTGGTGAAGATCGGTTCAGGTATAGCTATAGCTCCCATATATATTGTTCATCCGATTTGTCATATTTGTTACCCACAGCCGTAATATGCACTCCGTAACAACGATATTCAGGGAAATATATCAAATACAGCTCAGAAATATCTTTGCCAAATTTTATAGAGTTCGGCCCGCCCGACTTTAAGACTTTCTTTACTGGTTTAAGTGTTCTCAGAGTAGAGACACACAACTGCCTCCGCGGGAAGCTCTACTTAATATGCATAGTGTTGTAGGATATCATAAAGTCGGCCCGCCCGACTTTTGACCCGACCTGGCCTATATTGGCTTTTCTTAAAATTGTCCACAAGTAGTTGTGTATTTCTCCTTCTTTAGACTTAGTTCACTTTACTTCTCAACGTATACATAGTATTGTAAAATATGTGTATACACCATCATCCTATCCCATCACCTCCCCCCTCTCTTTCTCTCTCTCTCTCTTCCATATTCTATTTTGTGTTGTGACAAAAATATCACTTTTGTGTTGACCAGTGTAATCAAAATCCATTTCTATTATCATCAAAACTTATCAGTCAATGGAATGGAAACCCCGTATGGCTGGCAGAGCCCACAAGGGAAGTTAAACGGGAGGAAAAATATGGGAGACATGAGTAAATCAATGTGTGTGTGTTTGAGTGTGAAAAAGCCGAAGATTTTCAAATCACAACAAACAGCGGTACGGGGAACAGGGGCTATAACGATGTTGGGCCCAGTGTGACCGCTGGAAATTTTCAAAAAGTATCACAAAAAGTATCATTTCTTGAAAAAAGTGGCACATATTATTTTAAATGGTGGCACAGAAAGTGGCACAATTTATTTCATATTTTATTTAAAAAATAACAGTTTAGAACAAAACAACAAATTCAACTATATATAATACTATATAGTAATAATATATGTATGTACATATTGCACATTTAACCAGTAGAGAAAGCCTTAAAGTCATCTTTATGATACCCTACACCACTTTGCTAATTTTGTAGCGCTCCGCATAACAATTAAAAGTTTTTATGCGAGAACTCAATCATACACGCTATGAATTTAAAGTTCAAAGGACTAAATATGCTCAAGCATTTGTATCTTTTAAATTAGTTTAAATTAGTTTGAAATCGGATAAAGATATATATGTGAGCTATATCCAAATCGGAACCGATCTCGTTAAAATTTGGCAAAGATATTTCTGAGCTGTATTTGATATATTTCCCTGAATATCGTTGTTACAGAGTGGATATTACGGCTGCGGATGAACAATATATATGGGAGCTATAGCTATATTATTATATCAGGCTTAATTTGGCTGTATGTGCAAAATTCCATACTATTCGGGCCGATATTACACGTTTGGTGCACAATAAAAGTCAAATCGGACGAAGATATATATGGGAGCTATATCTAAATTTTGACCGATTATCTCCAATTTCAATAGAGTTTGCAAATGATTGGTGCAAAATTTCATCAGGATAGGGTAATAAATGCGAAATGTACTTTGTTCTCAAAAATACATGGACAGACAGTCAGACAGACAGACGGACGGACGGACGGACGGACGGACGGACGGACAGACATGCATAAATCGACTCAGAATGTGATTCTATGCAGATCATCAAAAGGAACTATGGGTCTATCTAGTTTCCTTTTGCCTGTTACAAACAAATGCACAAAGACATAATACCCTGACCATCTTGTGGTGTAGGGTATAACAAGTAAAAAAGCAGTAAGTTCGGCCGGGCCGAATTTTGAATACCCTCCACCATATGGTACAAATTTGGCAATTTTCAAAAAACTAAAATCCATTAAAAATTCTGTGAAAATCTTAAAAATACCGAATGTAGCCGGATATCAGGGTCTATACGACGACGTGGATCTGCATAAGCAACTTTTGTCATAAGCCTCCACAGGCAATTTTCTGGCATAGGATGTAGTATCCATTACAAACTTCAAATACAAAATTTGAAATAATTCCGGTAAATAATGCAGCTAAAATCAACAAAATACTGTATATCGGGGGTACCGTAATATGGGGGCTATACGAAGAAGTAGACCTGCACAGAAAATTTTCTGTCATAGGCTGTAGTAAAGTAATTAAAAATGTCTCTTAACAGTTGTTCCAGAAATAAACAAACAGAACAATGTTGACAACTTTGAGCAAGCGAAAACCACTTACAAACACCTAATATAAGAGCGTTTGCTCTAAAATTTGCTATCGCAAATTGGAAATGGCAGCGTACGACGCTTGTCATTGTTTCATTTCATTGTTTTAAATACAGCGTTTAGATTAAAATATATGTAATTTAAAAAAAGGTGGCACAATGTATAAAAAAGTGGCACAAAAATTCAAAAAAGTGGCTCATTTAGGATCAAAATAAAAAAGTGGCACAAAGGTATCAAAACCCAAAAAAGGTGGCAAAATTGATACTTTAGTGGCACAACGGTCACGCTGGTTGGGCCCACTTGCCATGGCTGATGTTATTCGCCGTTAAACGCTTTTATTTTGCTCAGTGCCTAGCCAGCTGGGCTTGTGTTGACTGTTATAAATGTGTGTGTGTGTGTGTGCGAGCGAGTGTGCATTATAAAAAGCAATAACGCATTTGTTGAAATTGTCATTTGTCTGACGATTCTCTAACGTTAACCAACCAACACGCTCGTAAGAGCATTTTCAGTTGTGGTTTTCCTAAGCAAACATAAGACGCGCAAATAACAGTTCCATTTATTTAATGAAAAAAAAAACACAACAACAACAAAAAACGTAAAGACAAACAAACGCGATTCCTTAGAGAAAATTTGTGCATTCCAAAAAATTTAATTTTTTTTCAATAAATTAATAAAAAAAAAAAAATAAAATAAAAAACAAACCACAAAAATGCCTTTCCCACGCGAACAATTAGAATCTGCCTGCGGTGAAAAGCTGTGCAAATCGGAAACCATTAAACTTAGAAATAAACATATTGGGTAAGTAAGGTTGTCAACCAGGCGTAACATTCCCCCCACTAGGCATCCCCATAATCAAACACCTGTGTATAAAAATTAAAAAAAAACCTATTGTTTTTATTTAATTTAAAAATAAATATTATTAAGAAAATAATAAAAGAAAAAGAATGAAAAAAAGACCGTCATCATCCATTGCCAATGCCGTCAACATCAAAAGGATACACAACCCAAGGTCATTGTTGGATTGTTACAGTTTCCCCATATGTATTGTTGTTACTACCGCTGGTTCTTTGCCAAGGTTATAGGCCTTGGCATCTACTTGCCAATTGTGTGACAGAGTGAGAGAGAGAGCACGCGAGACAAAGAGAGCAAAACACACAGAAACAAACCAACTATCTAATGGCCCAAGTACTCATCTCATTCGAGGGAGGGCCCGGGGAAATGTATATTTTACACAAATAGGCGGCAGCGAGTGAGTTCGTTGCCTCTATTCCCCACATTTATCTGCTCTGTTTGTACCTGCGTAGTGCAGATGATTTTATATTTTTTTCTTCTTAAATACTACGTAAAGTCAAATGTATTGTGACGATGGCCAAGAATGAAAATGCATAATAATTTATACTATGAAAGGATTTATTTTTGAAATATTTTCTATTATTTTTATTAGATGAAAGTGAGTGAGGATGTCGAGATCTTTCGTTCCTTCGCGATACGGGAAATTAGGCATTCAAAAAATATGGGGTGTCTTTAGTCCGTTTATTTTTGAAAAGGAAATTTTCGCCAATAATTGACAGCTAATTCTGCCTATAAAATACCCTCAAGAGTCAATACAAGAATCTAGAAATTTCCAGTTCGTATTCCGACAGATATATACCCTTAGTATTTGGCCACTTGTTTGTGTATACCCTTTTCGGGGAGACGTTCCAAAAGATTGAACCTACATGACCCAACTTAACATTAGATCTAATGTTAGTATAAATATAGCAATGTGCGAAGTTTGAAGAGAATTAGGGAATAATTTCGAATTTTAAAAGGTAATGACTTACATTTATTATATTTGTGGCCAAGAAGTGTCCTAAAAATATCAAATCAAATGCGAAATTTGAAACTGATTTTAAATTCTTCTCGTGTTATAATTATTTAATTTTTATACCCTCCACCATAGTATGGAGGGTATATTAAGTTTGTCATTCCGTTTGTAACACCTCGAAATATACATGTCCGCCCGTCTATCCGTCTGTGGAAATCACTCTAGCTTCCGAACGAATTGAAGTAGATTGATAAAATTTTACTCAAATGTATATTATGTTTGCAGGACTTTTTGGAGGAGCCCCCATATAACGGTACCTCTCGATATTCGGTATTTTGATGATTTTAGCGACATTATTTACTGGAATTATTTTGGAATTTTGTATTTGAAGTTCGTAATGGATAATACAGCCTATGCCAGAAAATTGTCTGTGCAGATCCACGTTTTATAACGTCCATGGTACCTCCCTACATTCGGTATCTTGATAATTTTACTTACATTATAAACAGATTTTTTTTTTGAAGTTTCGCATTTGAATATTGCAATAGCTTATGACAAAGTTGCCTATGCAGGTCCACGTCTTTGTATAGACCCTAATATACGGCTACACTCGGTATTTTTAAGATTTTAAGAGAATTTTTAACGGATTTTATTTTTTTTGAAATTTACCAAATGGTGGAGGGAATTCAAAGTTCGGCTCGGCCGAACTTATAGCCTTTTTACTTGTTCCTATTAACATGCCCTTGTTATGAGCTTATACTCAACAAAAAATAGTCACAAACCATTTCCATAGAATGTTGTTTTTATACCCTCCACCTTGGAAAGGAGGGTATATTATCTTTGTCATTCCGTTTGTAACATCCTTAAATATTCGTCTTAGACCCCATAAAGTATATATATTCATAATCAGCATAAAATTCTAAGTCGATTTAACGATGTCCGTCTGTTTGTCTGTCTGTTGAAATCACGATACAGCCCACATTATTTAAACTAGAGCACCGAAATTTAGCACAGCAATTTTTATTGTGTCTAGGATGGTTGGTATTGAAAATAAGATATATTGGTCCACGTTTTGGTATAGTCCCCATATAACGGTAACTCCCGATATTCGGTATTTTGATTATTTTTGCCACATTTTTTCACGATTTGTCTAAAAATTGGTATTTGTAGGTCATAATGGGTCCTAATTCATGTGGCGAAACATTGTCTGCGTAGGACCACGTTTTGGTATTGTCCGCATATAACTGTATTTCCCGATATTCGGTATTTTGATGATTTATGACACATTTTTTCACGGATTTCTCTGAAAATTGATAGTTGTAGGTCATAATGAGTCTGTGTGGCGAAACATTGTAATTATAGGTCCACGTTTTGGTATAGCCCTTATATAACAGTACCTCCCGATATTCGGTATTTTGATGATTTTTGGCACATTTTTTTCACGGATTTGTATAGAAATTGGTATTTGCTTGTCTTGATGGGTTCTAGCTCTTTTGGCGAAACGCTGTATGTATAGGTCCACGTTTTTGTATAGCCCCATATAGCCGTATTTCCCGATATTCGATATTTTGATGATTTTTGGCACATTTTCCCATGAATATGTCTAAAAATTGGTATATGTGGGTCATAAATGTTTCCTTTACCCTATGATGGAGGGTATTACAAGTTTGGCCCTGCCGAACTTAATGTTTTTTACTTGTTAAGTATTTCTTTTGTTACTATTTGAAAAGTTTTATTTGTATTAAAAGATTTTATATTCGTATCATTCTAGCGAAATTGTAGGTGTTATTTTAATATTATTTGTATTTGATAATGATGATCTATATGCAAACACAAAAGAACCCCATTAGGACATATATATATTTATTAAAAATCCCATTAAGACATATGTATATATTTATTAAAAAAATTCGCTGTATTTTTTTTAGAATATCAACAAACATGTGGTGCAAATGGATTATACAAATATATTTCATTAATATTTAAATGAAGTCATTTCTTTTGTTATATAGCCCAAGATATGATTGCATTCAAAGCTCTCCAAATAAATCTAATCACGATCGACACAAAAATGGTCAAGTCAATCATTTTGCCAAAGTCAATATGTTTGCTTACTGCGCACATAGGAATACCCAAATATAATTAGATTGAATTTCCTTTGATTGTGCCTAAAATTGGTTTATATGCTGAACTCAAAGTTAATCTATCGTTTTGTACTGCAGATCATTGACCCTCGAAACCCCTAAAATCAAAATTATCAACAAATGTTGTATTTTTTTTTGTGATTGGTATTAGCTACATGGAGCAGATAATAACAAAGGCAATGCTTTCAATTTGACATTTAAATAAAATAATTGAATATTTTCTAGCTGCTCGACAACAAATTTGCAATTAGTAGCGAATTTACTGGTGATAACGTAAATATTGTGCGAACCTTTAGAAATGTGAATGAAATTGCTGAATATTACGAGATTTTGTTTTGGCTAATTATTTAAATGTTGATATTGAGTATTGAGGTTCGGGGAATTTTATTAAAATATACCTATATAGTAATTTTTATGTGGAAAATTGCTTAAATGGATTCAATTCATAAATCTAAATAATGTGGTATTTTTGCAGAACATTTTGCTGTTTCTCTTCATTTCTCCCTTAAAAAAGAAAATTTTATTTTTCCACTCGATTTCACATTTAAAGTAAACTCTTACTCTATTTATAATATCTTGAGTAACACTAGGCGTGTCTGGTTACTTTTCCGGCAGGAATTGTACAGCAACTTCTTTCTGAGAGAGTAAGGTAATTTTATTCTCTTTTGTCTAAACAACAAAATTTGTCCGCCTTGAAAAGACATGAAACACAAAAAAATTAACAAGTAAAAAAGCTGTAAGTACGGCCGGGCCGAACTTTGAATGCCCTACAGGATTTGGAACGAATTTGGCAATTTTCAAAAAAATTAAAATCCGTTGAAAATTCTTTTAAAATATTAAAAATACCGAATGTAGCTGTTATATTAGGTTCTATACGACGACGAGGACCTGCATAGGCTACTTTTGTCACAAACGATTACAATATTCAAATGTGAAACTTGAAAAAAATTTCGGTGAATAATCGTCAAAATACCGAATAACGCGAAGTACCGTTGTTTACGGGCTATACGAAGTCGTGGACCTGCACAGACAATTTTCTGTCTCAGGCTGTAGTATCCATTGCAAACTTCAAATACCAAATTTGAAACAATTCCGGTGAATTATGTCGCTAAAATCATAAAAAACCGAATATTGAGGGCTATACGAAGACGTGGACAAACAATTTTCTGTTTTAGACTGTAGTATCCATTTCGGACCTCAAATACGAAATTTGGAACATATCCGGTTAATAATGTCGCTTAAATCACCAAAATACCGAAAATAGGGAGGTACCATTATATGTGGGCTATACCATAACGTGGACTTATGTGGCCCATTTTAAACATTTGAGTAAAATTTCATCAATCTACTTCATTTCGCTCGGATGTTAGAGTGATTTCCACAGACGGACGGACATCGCCAAATCGACATAAAATTTTATGCTGATAAAGAATATATACAGGCTGAGGTAAAAAAAATGCAACGAAGTCAAGCCCCAAAATTTTTACATATTTTTTAATTTTATTAAATGATTAAATATGTCGGAAATAGCATCAAATTTGAGAATAAGTTTAGATTTGTCCAAACTGGTCACCTTTGGCACGAATTATGGCTTTCAAACGGACAATGAAACCGTCACATGCTGCCCGAATGTTGTTCTGCGGTATTTTGGCCTATTCTTGGCGAAGCGCTTGCTGAAGGTGATGATAGTGCCAACCTTGCTTTCCAAAATACTCAAGACACAATAGTCCAACGGATTGATATCCGGAGATTTTAGTGGTCATTGTGCGCTGGAAATGAAGCTAGGAACTTCATTTTGTAACCATTCTTGGGTGGCGCGTGCTGAGTCCTGTTGGAATGTCCAAGGTCTGCGGCCAAAATGTGTGCGTGCCCAAGGCTTTAATTCACCCTCCAGAATATTATCGCTATAATATTCGGCATTTATTCTGATGCCAGGGTCGATTAATACGAGCGGAGGGCGACCATCGGCAGTTATGGCGGCCCACACTTTCACCATCACCACGGCGGTCGCTTGAGTTCTGGTGGCCAACCGAAGATTCACATTTTCAGCTGACCTTTTTGGCATGTAAACACGATTATTTTGTTTGTTTACAAACTGCTGGACAACGAATGTTTTCTCATCGGAGAAAACCAAATTCGGCAGTTCACCACTTTCGGCCAAGCGAAGCAACTCTTTAGCTTTAGTCTATTTTCTTTTTGTTGCGGTGTAAGTTCTTGCACTTTTTGGAATTTCAATGGTTTTACCCCGAGCATATTGTTCAATATTTGCCGATTGGAAAATTGCGGTATGTTCATCTCACGAGCAATTTTTGGGCCACTGCTGTTCTGCGGGTTTCGATCAAGTGTCTTCTTTACTTGTCAAACCATTTCTGCCGATTTTGCTGTTTTATTCCGTCCACTTCCTTGACGTCGGGCTTCGCTACCAGTATCACGGTAACGAGCAATGATACGAGACACAAAAGACTTATTCACATTTAAATGCTGGAGTGCTCTAACGATAGCCACTTGTGGTTTTCCAGCCAAATATAAAGAAATAAAACTATCGCGCTTTAATTCCATCACGAATAATTTTTATTTTCTGGAAAATTCTCACCAAAATGATTTTGTACGCTTGTAAACAATATAATACGCTTGTATATAATAATAGTAACAATTTGCAACAATTGTTACGAATTTAAGGGTAACCAGACACACCTACTTTCAGTCAATTTTTTAAAAAATAAAACTCGCGAGCGCTCCCACTTATATCAAGAGAGTGGAGAGTCATTTTTTTGTAAAACTTGCTCTCTGAAACTCTACCAGTATTTTCACTCCCATTTATTGTTTACTCGAGAGCAAAACTGAGCAATTCTGGGCTCTGAATATAACAATAACTCTCTTTCACCCGCCATGATATACATGTCTTCTCAAAGACGTAATATTCGGATGCATACCAATGATATTCCGTCGAAGACATCTCATTCAGCCTAGAAATAGCTCTTTGTTGCCAAAAGATAATAGCTAAAAAAAGTCACCCTATATCTTCAGCTCAAGACTACTGTTCTTCCTCCCCTTTTTTATTTGTTTTGTGTTTTTTATATAATTTGTTGATCTGCCCCTAATTAATTTGATTATTCTATTTTATTTCTCTTTCCAGACAAGCATGCCAATTATTCTATCGCTCGGATCCCCTAAAGATTGTCCGAGGTCAGGGTCAATATATGTTTGATGAGCAGGGTACTTGTTATCTGGATTGTATAAATAATGTGGCCCATGGTAAGTGTGACATTTCGCCTGGCTTATTGTTTAGATAAGATTTATTCGACATTTGTTTATTAAGTGAATAATTGGCAATGGCAAAATAATTGCGCAATGAACAGAGAACGTGATAGAGAGAGAGAGAGAGGGGCAATGAAACGAAAACACTTAGAGTGTTCAAGTTATAAATGTAAACATTGGCAAGAGAGCTCTATTAAGAGCAGTCTTTCTAAATCTCCCAAAGTCAATATTTTTCTTCCGAAAAGAAGGAAAGTTTTAGGTATTCTAATTGAAAATTAAATGCTAAATTTAGCTCATTGTTAAATGCAATGCCAAGAATGATAGCAAAAATAAGAAGGTTCGATATAAACTGGCGTTCACGATTAACTATTTCCGGCAGATAATATATGTATATGTTCAGATCGACATTTCTAATGGATCATAGAAATTTCCAATTATTATCGAATTTTAATAAGAAAAAATCAATTGTAAAGTATTTTTTTTTACCATTCACAAATTTCCAACTAAATTCCGATTTCATTTTGAAAAAGAAAATACTCCGTGGAAATTTTCCATTCCATTCATTCAACTGCAGCCATTCCTCAATTTTGAAAAGAGGAACAGAACAAAACGTGCCATTGACACATCCAACACGTTTTTCCGTTTACAGCTTTGTTTGTCGCTATGACTTTGTCAATACAAAATTTCGAAATTGTTTACAAAACAATATTATCAGAATTTCCGTAGACCATGTTTGAAAGTGGTAGGTGGAGGGAGGCAGACAACTGATAGCTGGGGTAATAAATTAATGTAAATATAAATATTGATAGAAATTGTTGTTGCTGTTGTTTGTTGTTGCGACTAGGTGCTGAATAACAATAAAGTTCACAAGAATATACGAACGGCAATGCGAGTGCACGTGAAATGCATGCTGTCAGTTTGGTTACATAACTAACTTAGAATTTGTGAGTGCGCATTATGAGATAAGACAGGGGCATTGGAAAATGAATTACAGATTAGGCAGCTATTATACATTTATTTATTGTTACATATTGATTTTATAATTTGATTGAATGGAAAATATTTGTGTCAGATAACTGGCAGGTGATTAAATTATATCATTCATGAAAAGCAAAAAATAAGTTTCTGGGTGTAAGGGAAGCAGGAAGAGGTAATAGGGACTATGATTATTTTGGTCCCATTTACATTTTTTGAAAAAAAAAAAAAAAACTTGGTTCCTAGGGCCTGTAATTTTTTTTCTATAGAAAAAAACTTGGCCCCAAGGGTCTGTGAATTTTTTTCTTTAGAAAAAAACTTGGCCCCAAGGGTCTGTGAATTTTTTCTATAGAAAAAAACTTGGCCCCAATGGTCTGTGAATTTTTTTCTATAGAAAAAAACTTGGCCCCAAGGGTCTGTGAATTTTTTTCTATAGAAAAAAACTTGGCCCCAAGGGACTGTGAAGTTTTTTTCTATAGAAAAAAACTTGGCCCCAAGGGTCTGTGAATTTTTTTCTATAGAAAAAAAAATTGCTTCGAAGGGGCGATTGAAATGGAGTTTGCAACGAGTTCTATCTATAGTGCCAGAAAGTTTTCCACATAAGTCCATGATTTCTAATAGCTTTCATAAAATTGTACCCCTTGATATTCGGTATTTTGATTTTAAACACACTTTTCATCACAATTATTTCAAATTCAGAATTTCAGATTCGCAATGCGACTACTTCCTACGACATAAAATTACCTGCACAAATTAACGTCTTATTATGGGTCGTATATAACAGTACCTCCCAATATTCGGCATTTTTATGATTTTAGCCCCATATAACACCTGATATTCGGAAGTTCTAAAATTGTAGCGTAATTTTTCAATGGACTTTTTTTACATTTTTCATGTTTCCTCCACATGGTGGAGGATATTAAAAAAGTTCCGCCCGACCCAATTTAACTGCGATTTTACTAAAAATTCCCATTCATCCCATTTCTCATGTCATCCAAAAAAACTAATGTTTTTGTTTACAATAAATCTATTTACAATTTGCGTATTTTTTTTTTTTTTGCTTGTCCTACTGGCTCAGATGTCACTGACGTACATTCTACTTTTCTGCGCAATATATATATGCGCTTCAATTAAATTTAATGACGTAATTGGTAATATGTCACCCAGATTAATCTTCCGCCATGTAGTCGGTGAAAAATTCCAAGGCAGTAAAAATTGCATGAAATAATGGAGGATGTGTTGTTATTTCTTTAATTTGATGATTGGTAATTTTTTTAATTAAATAAATTGAAAAATATAACACATACAGATGGCCTTTTGTTGATTATTTGTCTGCTAGCAAAAACAATGATCAAATTTAATTCATAAAAATCATAAAAATTTTCCAAAATAATCTAAATGTCATCAAGAGTTCATACATATGCAGCAAATGAAGCAAACCAAAAAAAATCATATATTTTATTCAAATATTTTGATGGTGAGTGAGTGTGTTGTTATTACCGAACATAGTATACAGTCTACGGCCCCTCGCTGTGAGCATTTCACGTTTTTTTTCGTAAGAGCATCTGTCTATTCGCCAGCAAGATCTACACACAGACATCGCGTGAACTACACGTGATCCCAACCCACAGCAACACTGTATATTCGGGTCTCATTGAAACTACTGAACCAGTGTCTGTCATAAACAAGAGCCACTTGTTGCTATTGCCGATAAGCAGCTGGCTTTTATATTTGGCCCCCAAAATAGTTTTTGTTTTTGTATTTTTTTTTTCACATAAATTTAGCTCGCCGCCCCATGCATGTTTCTATGTGCCATATCAAAATCATTAGTTCGAATAAATAAATATGTTGTTGTCATTACCGAAAACTTGTGCGGTTCACGTGAATCGATGTTTTGCTTGTGAAAATTGTTTACTCGTTTCTTATCTATTTTCGATGAGTGACTTGTGTTGGAAGGGGAACTAACCTTATTTTTATTCGATTTTAAAATAGAAAGTTGTTTTTTAGAATAATATGTGATAAACAAAGATATTAAAAAGAAATAGTGAGGGATGAGGATATTTCTATAGGAAAATTTTTAAAAAATATAGTTATGATCAGGGGATCGGAGGACTGAGAAAAGGTTGCAATTTTAGAACAAATAGAGCCCCACTATGTGAAAAATTGCTAAATATTGCTAAATTTGTTGCTTTCAACATCCCCTAAAATTTAGGGTCAGGGGCCATCGACAAACAAAAACCAACAATTCGGCCAAAATCAATATTTTGCGATAAATAAACAATTACATACACAAAATATTAATTAATAAACAAATCAATCAATAAATAAATACATACTTTAATAACCAGTAAGGAAAGGTCAAAAGTCGGGCGGGTCCAAATATATGATACCCTACACCACTATGCGCATTAATTTTTATGAGCTTCATGGATTATCAAAATGTTGAGCCTTTGTGGGGGAGGTACCAGAAGGAGTGAACCGATATATCCCCTCTTCACAACGGATCTTTTGTTAGTGGAAATAATGTGATGTATGAAATATAAAGATAACCTGACGCTTATTTCGGATTTTATAAACGTTTTGGCTATTCAAAACTTTGACCCTTTGTGGAGGAGGTGCCAGAAGGAATGGTCCGATCTCTACCTTTTTTTAACAGATCCTGTGTTGATAGAAATATGCAGATGTGCCAAGTCTGGAATTGAATCGGATCTAAATTTCGCATTTTATGAGCTTCATGGATATATCCCATCTTCAGAGCAGATCTTGAGTTAGCAGAAATAATGGGATGTGTAAAATATGAAGAGAACCGGAGGATTATTTTGGATTTTATAATTGTTCTGGTTATTCAAAACATTGACCCTTTGTGGGGGAGTTAACATAAGGAATGGTCCGATCTCTACCATCTTTATACCAAATCCTTAAGCTCTAGCCAAATGCTAACTTCCGCGTCGATTGGTCTATAACTGCGACCTGTAGAGCAACGGAAAAAGCAGGAATTTTTCAGTATTTGGTCTATTTCAACCCCTAAATATTATGAGATCGTCTCCAATAGAAATAGGGTTCTAATCTGGCCCAAACCCCCACCTCCATTCTAAATTTCGTGAAGATCGGACCATAATTGCGACCTGTAGAGTGATTACAAATTAACATGGACAGACGGACAGACGGACGGACGGACATACATAGCTAGATCGACTTAGATCGGCGAGATAGGAAGACCCACAAATACTTTCCTATGTGGGAAACCAATATTTCGAGGTGTTACATAATTGTTGGTCCAATCAAACTAATAATACCCCCAACACATAGTGTTGTAGGGTATAACAAGTAAAAAAGTATCGGTCGGTTTTGCCGACAGAGGTACCAGAATGAGTGGACCGATATTTATATTTCATTTTCAGACCACAAAATGGGTTAATAAAAATATTGTGATGTGTGTAACTTAAAGACAATCGGACACCTACATCTCATTTTATAGAAGTTATAATTACTCAAAATGTTGAGCCCTTGTGGGTGAGGTACTTGATTGAGTGGGCCGATATTGTCCATTTTTCCACCTGACCTAGCACTGATGCAATTATTAAGATTTGCAAAATTGGAGGAAAATCGGAGTATCCATTCCCTTTCTGTGCAGTAAAATGTGTTTTTTTAATTCGACCTTTAATGGGGGAGGTACCAGAAGGAGTGAACCGATATTGCCCATCGCCGAACTCGATCTAAGTTTGATAATAATATTAAGATGTACGAAGTTTGGACCAAATCGGATACTCCCTTGGAGAGTTATCGTGCATGAGACAGACAGACAGATGAACGGACATCGCCAGATCGATTCAAATGTCCTGAAATGGATTTGGTGTAAAGAGACCTGGGGTATAAACCCGTTATGCGGCGTATCAAATGATATATACCCACTGTATCCATATAACTGGGGTATAAACAATTTTTGACATACGATTGCACGAGGTTACCTTAAGATGGTATGATATGTGTATGTGCAGAATAGGTATATGCGCAGAATACTT